AAACTTTAATGTGGTGATTGCTTAAGATTGTGTTTTATTATTCTTGTGTTTTCTTAATTTCGCCCGGCTAGTAAAGATTCAGATTTTGACTTTTATTCTACCTTTGACTTTTTATTTAGGACTTCTAAAACTAACATTTCAATTCGTTCTTAGGTCAGACATTATCGCTCTGCTTTCAGATCAGCTGATGTTGCTTCAATCTATAACCATGCATTTCTCCAATAAGGGAAATCTGTTTTTATTCACAATTTGTTCTGCTCATTTGGATTTCTGCTGCTAAACCTGAGTGCATTTACTGGACTCATGTACCTAATCCTTCTCTTCTTCATTCTTATACTTGGAAGGAGACTACTATTCTGGTTACTACTTTTCCTATGAATGTACTGTCACCCCCTTATGAAACAGGTCAGCTGGATTTTCCTGATGAAGGAGGAACAGTTTTTAATTATACTCACTTTGTGTCTTCTGATATTATGTGCTTTGGAGTTCCTCCTTGCTATCCTATACAACAGCAACATTGGGTTGTTCCAGGAGGTGGATGGAATCGTAGTCACCCAGATGTGCTACGTTTTTCTGCTCAGTCAACAGGTTCTGATTGGACTGAATATGAGACTACAGCTGGTCCATCTTTCCCAGAGTGTGAAAGTTTTTCCTATGCTCAGATTTCTGAAAGACAATCTTTGATATGGCAAGATTGTAAAGGGTTAATTGGAAAAGTTTATAGGTCCTGGAATCATACTTGGATTGATTGGGGTCCTTTAGGAAATTGGTTACAGACTGTAAAGATTATAAGAAGTTTGTCTCTAAGTGTGATCTACATGATGTTGTTCCCATGAAAGATAAGTTCAATAGTGCTGTTGTTATAGGTTGGGTGGATGGAGGAATAGCTAATCCTCGACCTCAATTGAGAATAGGACATACATTATATCCTCCTCAAATGCATATTTGGAAATTGCTAGCTGCTCTTAAGCCTGTAGAAATCTTGATGGAAATTTTGCTATTATTTATAAGGTATTTTACAACTTTACTAAAGTTAAAAAATGCACTGTTACAGCTTGTGTCCACTTTCCTCTAGTAATCTTGATTGGACATGTGGTCATTCAAGACATGAACTTACCTTGTCAGAATTGTCGTTTGTATACTTGTCTTAATAACTCTATAGCTTTTAATCCATCTTTTGACTCTGTTATGATTTTAACTCAACGGAATTCTTTATGGATTCCTGTGCAAATGCATCGTTCTTGGGAAAGCAGCCCTATTCAAGGACTCGTTCTAGGATCACAAATGTGCTGCTGAGACTTTTCTATCTTCCCTTCATCTTCAAAATGAAAAATTGGCTTCAATTACAAAATAAAGAAGGGTGAAACTAGGGAAATTAGGAAATAACCTAATCAATTTGTATTTCCTCCTAATCAATTTTTGTTTCCTCAATTTGTCATACTTTCATTAGGATTTGTGTTAAGGAAGGGATTTGTGTTAAGGGTCTTGTGCATGCTCTATTCCCCAAATTGAATGGGCTTGATCCAGTGCTCCTTTGGGGGCAAGGATAGGTTTGTGTTTTCCTGCAGGATACACATTTCAGGATTCTACGTTCCATGCTGACCCACAACATGCTGATTGATGACACTGTCCTGTGTCTCTTCTTTGCCCGGATGTCTTCCGATGTATGGCACTCACCGTTATACTTACTTGGCCTTGTACTACAATGCCTCACTGACCTGACTGAGCAATTGATTGCTTCCTTGGCTGCTCTTACTTTGTATGCTGATGAATTTCTTCAAGACTTCTACAAGAGCTTGTTCACTGTTGCTGTGTCAGCTTTCATGAATTTTGTTCATCTTTAGTTTGTTTAAGATCTTTTATGTTCAGTCTCCAATTGTATGATCAGAATGTAATCATTTGATTTTAGGTTTCTTTCCTTTATCTCAATTCCGATTTGGTGCCTTTATTTGGCCTAGGTCTAAACCTGATGCCTAATCAACCCATACATAAAATTCAGTACGGTGGCAAGAAAATTTTAATAAGATTTTCCCGTTTTCTTCCCCATGGCCGTGGCCAATTGATGGGAGCTTCTTGGAGGCCGGTTAGCCAGTGACGGGTAAGATCTTCTCAGAGCAAAGCAGATCGCTGGCTGATCATCCAATGGCTTTTGCTCTGGTAGAGGACAACCTAAGACAGGCAGGGTCTTTCCATCCCAGTCTTGGCATTTTCTACATCTTTTAAATATAAAACGGGGGAAATGTCAGCAGCCATGCTTGACTTAAGCATTGTGGAAAAGAAGACTGCCACTTTAAGAGCTTCTAAGCTCTCTGCTTCAGCAGTTTGAGCTCACAGGCTATGCCTCCATGAGTAATTAGGCACTCTGGAAACAGTTTCGTTTCAGTCTTCAGACACTGGAGTTGGTGGCGTGATGCAGCTACGTGCCGCATCCTTGGTTACTTTCTGTTAGTAAAATATCCTTGGTGATTCCTTGGTTACCCCTGATCTGATTCCTATATAAGACCTGTGTGCCTCACAACAAAAAGTTTTTTTTCTGTGATTGCTCACCTGACTGTTAAGAATTAAACTTTTTATAATAAGATCAAGACCTTTGTCTTGACTCTTCTCTTGTTGAAGCTCCAAGCCTAGTGGGCTTGGGGCGCGTTCAACAGGTCGGAACTCTTGTTTTCCTTAAGGGAACATTTAGGGGAAGGCAGTTTGATAAGGGTGAAGTTTCTCATGGTGAAGTCAAGTTAGACTGTTTTGCTTCATATAAATAAAAAAGTGTAGCTTTTACTTGCTTTGACAGCTGAGAGGAAGGCTTCTGATGGTCCTCCTGCAGAGACTCTGTCCAAAGAGACAAGCTTGAGAAGAGTGGAAGTCACATGACCTCATTAGGCTCAGTGGCTTGATGACAAACCAGAAGTCAATAGACCATGTCAAACCAGGGAGGGTGGCTCGGATGGGAACAAAATTTAAGTTATTCAAATAACAAAAGACTAAGAAACAGCAAAACCAAGAGATTTAAGAAAGAAAAACATCAGCCCAACACAGTGTGGATCTTATGTAGATTATGATTTAAACAAAAACAGATACAAAACTTATGAGGCAACCAGGAACATCTGGATACTGGGTATTTGATGACATCTGTTAGATATAAATAATACATCGTCAAGATGTAACAGGATTAATAGCTTTTCCTAAACACCTTTTCTCTACTGCAGTGCCCCAGTAGAGGATACAATGACCCCAGGGCGCACTGCTTCCATTCAAACTCCAGCTTGGAGACCATCAGTGCAAACAGCAACATAACAAAAACCCCAAGTGTGGCTTAGTGTAGTTATACAAATGGCTTTGTCCCTGTGGCTCAATATGGTCATATATATTTAAAGTCCTAGCCTTTTAGAAATATATTTAGAAATATTAATGAAATGTTTGCTGGGACTGAGGTGAAATAATACACAGAGGGGAGGGGTGAGGAGGTGGGTGGGAGACCCAATGGAATATATCAGTCATCTTTTAGAATGTCCACAATAAATGCTAAGATAAAAAGATTCTTCACACCAAATATAAATATGGCAAAATGGCAAAGGATTTGCCAAACAGTACTTTGCATATAAAAATTCATGACTCCATTTGTTAAAAACAGACTTACATGATTGTTAATACGGCTTTGTTCAATCCATTTACAAATCAAGAAATGTGGGCTGTAGGGTTGGGTGGTCCTAGTGTTTCTTTCTCTGGCACTAGGTACTGAACTCAGGGCCTTGTACATGCTGGGCAAGTGTTCTACTGCTGAGCTATACCCCAGCCCTCTGGGTTGAGTTTATATTTGGGATTCTCAACATGGGTATCATTGATACTTGGGGCTAGAAAATTTTTTGTTGAAGAGCTGCCCTGGGTACTGAAGCATGACAAACAGTATTACTGGCCTCCACCCGGATGCCAGTGGCATCCTTCTTCTGTGACAAAAATGACTTCAAGCACCATCATGTACCCTCTGAGGACAGAATGACTGCAGCTAGGAACCTCTGGCTTACAGCAACACTGGATACTTCAAGGCAGTGCTTTGCACGGGTGTGGTGACCCCTCTGGGGAATGCTGTAGAAGTTTGTGGGGGCTTCTGTCAGATGACTTGGAATGGTATTCGTGGTTGAAATGTGGGCAAGAGCCAAGTATGTTACAGTGACTATGAAAAGTAGAACCGGCCCCAGGAAGCCATGTACACTCAACTTGTGAACTGAGATTCTGACCTGAATTCACAAACAAACACAAATTACTTCTGGTATATTTGGAATTTAGGCAGAATTTCCCAAAAATGAAAGAGCATTTTGTTTTGCTCAAAACTTTGTTTTGTTTTTGTTTTTTTGAGACAGGGCCTCCCTGTAGTCCCAGCTGGCCTGGGACTCACTGTGTAGACCAGGATGGCCTCAAACTCACAGAGATCCACCTGTCTCTGCCTCCCAAGTGCTGGGATTAAAGGTGTATGCCACCACGCCTGGCTTGTTCAAAACTTTTACAAAATAGTCACCACTCTGGAAACTCACCTTGGGCACAGGAATGCCCCTTATAGTATTTCTGTAGCCAAAAGCATGCCCGATACCAGCCATGAGCTCCTGGTGAAAGTGGGCCCGTGTAATGACATGTTGAGACACCATACTAACTCAATACACATTATTCTATTATAAATTACTTTCACTTTCACTTTTACAAAAAAATGGGCCATACACTGATTATTTCAACACTACACATGTGCATAGGTTTTATCACTGATGAACTCATTCTAAAATAGAGAAAACATGATTAAGATGTCTGTTGTTGGGGCCAGAGACATGGCTCAGTGGTTAAGAACACTGGTTGCTCTTGCAGAAGACCCAGGTTCAAATCCCAGCACCCACATGGCAGCTAACTGAAGTCTGTAACTTCGGTCCCAGGGGATTCGACAGCCTCTTCTAACCTCTGCTGGCATTGCATGACACGGGTGCACTTACCTACATGCAGGCAGTACACGCGTACACATAAATAAAAATAATAAATAAAATTGTTTTAAAAAGTTAAAAAAAAAATCCATCTTAAAAAAACAAAGAGACCATGTCTCAAAACAAACAAACGAAAGCCTGTTGTTAAAGGTGTACTGACTTGATAAACTGGAGACCACCAACCTCAGGTATTTGGGAAGCAGCACTTCCATACAAAGTCAGAGGTCACCACTGCCATAATGCCATCCTCTCTTGCTATGAACACAGTGTAGACTTAGCATTTTGTATTTGTAGGTCAAAAGTTATCTGAAGCACTTCCTATGTGGATTTTCTGATGTCAAATAACAGAGAGGTGCCCACTGAAGGTTCTCCTACCGCAATAACATGCACAGGGTTTTTCTCCTGCATAATTTCATGGAGGTCAAACAAGGCCAGGGCCCTGCTTGCTGGCTGTCCTGCCTTTGCCTGGTCCACAGAGATTTCTCTGGAATTGGAGTGCTGAGGCCGAATGAGCTTTGAGCCCCGGCCACACGACTGTTCTTGTCTTCGGGTCCGTCCATGGGGCTCTTCCTCTTTGTTGTGAGTTATCTGATGTCGGATGAGGTGAGAACTCTGAATGAAACATTTTCCACACTGATTACATTTAAAGGGCCTGTCGTTCCGCTGAGTCCGTTCAACTTGACTCAAAGGTGGGTCAGAGCTGAGGGTTTCTGTCCATTCGTGCTTTGTTAAAGTTGGTGCCTGCTCAAAACTCAGCCTCTGTCGGCACTCATAGGGTTTCTCCCCAGCATGCTTCCGCTGATGCTGGGCCAGGGAGGAGCTGTGCCTGAAGCCCTTTCCACAGTGGTTACACTCATAAGGCCTCTCCTCAGTGTGAGTACGTAGGTGTAGGAAAAGGCAAGTAGTCCGAGAGAAGGATTTCCCACACACACTGCAGGTATATGGCTTCTCCCCAGTGTGTGTCCTTTTGTGCCGGCCTAAAGATGAATTCTGATTGAAAGCCCTCCCGCAGTCCTGACACTCATATGGTTTCTCTCCAGTGTGAATTCTCCGATGGACAGTAAGGTGTGTGCTATGGCAAAAAGATTTCCCGCATTCATCACATTTATAGGGCTTGTCTCCAGTGTGGATTCGCTCATGCTGAACAAGGGAAGAGTTTTGGCTGAAGGCTTTCCCACACTCTTTACACATATATGGTCTCTCTCCGGTATGAATCCTCTTGTGTACCGTGAGGTGCGCATTATGGTTAAATGACTTCCCACAATCAGTACATTTGTAGGGTTTATCTTGAACTTGGTTTTTTGTGAGTTCTGGAATGGGTATACTCTGATCAGAGGTTTTGTGACAGCCACTGTCATCAAAGAGTTGTGTTGTTGAGGAGTCTGTCTGCTGATTGACTAAACTTGAGCTATGGACTGCGTTTTTAACTTGTGTGGCATAGATACAGTCATATTCTTTTCTAGAAATCTCTGGTAGTAGATCTGTGTTTGAATTAAGAACACAGGTTTTCCCAAGTCCAAGACTTTCACAGCCTTGACTTTGATTTGGTACCTCTTTGGGGCCTTCTGATTGCCTCAAGATACTCTGGTCTTTTCTGAGTGCCTGGCTCTGGTCTAGACCTGTCATGGAATCACAAGGAGTATCCTTTGGGAACCCTTCCCTTTCTGTCATAGGGGACATCTTCTTAGGGAAGCCCTGCTCCTTGAGTGACATGTGACCTTCAGGTCCAAGGACCCAGCCTGAAAGAAACACAAAGAGCTCTGAGAAGTTAAGGGGAAAACAAGGTGAGAGACAGGCTCCCAGTACCCTGGGCCTCTGCTTCTAACCTAGGTCCTGACGACCTGCCCTTGCAAGTCCTGATTCTCCTGACACCATCTACCCTTGCCCTCAGCCATCGCTTCACAACTCAGTGTCATTCAGCACTGCCAGTGAAGCAAAAATGCACTAACCTCTTGCATGTTGCTGACATAGCCTATCACAAACTTGTGCCTAAAAGTAACACATGCTGTACATCTTACAGTTCTGCAATACAGAAGTCCTAAAATCCAGATGTCAGAAGGGCTGGTTACTCCTGGCAGCTCTGCAGGAGAATGTCACATTTCTGATTTGAATCCTCCTACCCTCTTTTTTTTCTTTTTTGATACAGTCTCCCTAGTACTCCTAGCTTGCCTGGAACTTACTATGTAGGCCATTGTCCATGTAGATCATGTAGGTTCATTTCCTAGCATTGCAATAAACTAAGAAAGAAAGAAGAGAGAGAGAGAGAAGGGGGGGAGGGAGTGAGGAAGGAAGAAACTATGATCTATCCAGTCAATGGAATATTCAGCAATAAAAAAGCAACCAAGCATCAATACACACAACTTTGAAAATATTAAGATAAATGAAAGAAGCCAGACACAAGGTCACAAACTAAGAGTTCACTGATTAAGAAAGGCCTCAAATAGCAAATCCAGGATCTGGAGAAGTTGGGCAGTGATGGCTAATAGGTATCTTTTAAGGTGACTGCTATGGACCGAATACTTTCATATTTATAAAATGCCTACGTTTAGGTCCTAGTCTCTGGTGTGATGGTAGCTGGAGATGGGGCTTTGGGAGGTATTGAGTCATGAAGGCAGAGCCCTCATGATGGATTTAGTGCCTTTCTAAGATGAGACATCAGAGGCCCACATCTTCCTCTCTCTTCTGAGGAAAAGGCAGCCTCCAGAACTGTAAGAAAATGTGTGCTGTTTAAAACCACTCAGACAGTGATGAAATGTTCTAGAACTGGTGATGCTCCTCTGTGAGCATACTCAAACACCACTGGGTTACATACTTTTTTTGATTGTTGTTTGTTTTGTTGTTCTGGGGAAAATCCAGGGCTTCATGCATGCAACTGAGATCTTACCTCCAACTTTAAATGGGAGATTTTTTTTTTTTTTTTTTGAGACAGGGTTTCACTATGTAGCCCTGGCTGGCTGGGAACTGTCTATGTCGATCAGGTTTGCCTCAGGGTCACAGAGATCCACCTACCTCTGCCTCCCAAGTGCTGGGATTAAAGGTGTGCACCACTATGCCTGCCTTTCAATGGCTGAATTTTATGGTATATGAATCTTAATAAAGTTATTACAGAAAAGCAGACCTGCCCTTCTCCAATCCTGGGCACCCCTCTGCTCACCACGCACACCCCTTCTGATGGCAGACAGACTGTATTTTTCCTGCTCATCACTTCACTGACTTTATCTCCTCTCTCACTTTGCTTCCTGCCTGCCTGCTCACTATCCCCCAACATTCCCATGCTCCTTTGCTCATGCTGTTTCCTCAGTCCGGAACGCTCATCCCCAGGCACCGGCCTGCCTTCGTGTTACCTTCTAAAGAGGCCTGGCTCCCTGTCTGTTCTGGGAGTGTGATACCTTGCCCTACACAGGTATAATTTTTGTTTGTTTCAATCATTACCACCTGATACCAGCACCCACTTCTCAGACCCCTAGCAAGTGAGGGCTCAGCTCTGTGTTGCGTTCTCTGCTACACTCCTAGCATCAAAGACAGAGTGTGTATAAGCCCTCCAGAATGTTAGCTGGATGGACCCATGATCTAAGACACTAGTAAATGCAAGGTTAGCCCAAGCCTGGTCCAGACCAATCCTAGCAGTGGGAAGAGGGTTGATGAAGACCCAGAGTGAGGAGACGTGAGGCTACTGGTGAGGGCTGAGGTGGTGTAACCGGGTTTGGTCAGGAGCAGTAGAAAGCATCAATGCTGAGACAAGCTTCAGATTGAATTCACCTGGGGTCCCCACAGCTCCAGCCATCCCCAAACTACTGAGCCTGCTGTCTCCAGTGGTGAGAGCAAGTGACAGAGGGTGGAGACTACAGTCAACCAGGCGACCTGCAGAAGATGAGAGGAAGTGACCACAGTAGGGAAACAGCAAGAAACAAGGTAGGATGAGCAACAGGGAGAGCAGCTCTCACTCCCACCTGTTACCTAGCCCAGCAAGTGACAGGTCCACCAGTTACCTAGCCCAGCAAGTGACAGGTCCACCAGTTACCTAGCTCAGCAAGTGACAGGTCCACCAGTTACCTAGCCCAGCAAGTCACAGGTCCACCAGTTACCTAGCCCAGCAAGTCACAGGTCCACCAGTTACCTAGCCTAGCAAGTCACAGGTCCACCAGTTACCTAGCCCACCAAGTCACAGGTCCACCAGTTATCTAGCCCACCAAGTCCCAGGTCCACCAGTTACCTAGCCCATGAAGTCCCAGGCATGCACAGGGAGGGGGCCTTCCTTGAGGAACAGCCTGGAGAGAGGTCTGACTAGATAAGCACTCTTTTCCCTTGCTGGTTTTGTTCTGTACCATTTGGCTACAATCAATCATGGCTGTATGACAATGGCAAGTACTACGAGAACACCTAAGAAAGGGGGTGGTCTTGTGGGCCCCGAGACATCATCCTTTCCACAAAGTGCATCTCCAGGTGCCTCCTAGAATCCCCTTTTAGTAGCACCTTATTCAGTGGGTTCTTACCTGGATGGCAGCCCCAGGTGACTCCTCTCTCTGCCACCCAGAGCTCAGCACCTTGCTCCAGCTGGGAGATGACTTCAGGCTTGGGAAGCTCAGGACCTAGAAACAGAAAAAGACACAGGACGTCAGAAGCTGCTCTGCCCAGGCTTCTTCAGCTCAGTGGACACCTCACCGTCACATGAAGGTTTTGCTGTGTGACAGAAAGGGGAGCCAACTCCCAATGAGTGTGCCCACAGTGGATGAAGACTTATGCTAAGTTGTATCTCTATACCAGAGGCTCACAACCTATATAACTTAGGAAGATTCAGTCATTGTAGCCTGGAAAGCAGACCTTACCCACAGAGAGGAGGTGTCCGAAGGTCTCCAGCATCACGTCACGATACAGAGTCCTCTGGGTAGGGTCCAACTGCCCCCACTCTTCCTGGGTAAAGTCTACAGCCACATCCCGGAAAGTCACTGGCTCCTAAAACATGACATTTACTCTCAATTAGCTGGACCATCCCTATCAGTGAAATAACACATACATTCTCTCAATTAGCCAGACCATTCCTATCAGTGCTTTTTTGTTTGTTTGTTTTGTTTTGCTTTTTTGGTCTTATTGAGACATGGTCTCCCTGTAGCTCCAGCTGGCCTAGAATTCGCTATGTAGACCAGGCTGGCCTCCTCGAACTCACAGAGCTCTGTATGCCTCTGCCTCCTGAGTGCTGGATTTAAAGGCATGCACCACCATGCCCACTATCAGTGCTTTTTGGTAAAGGAGGAACAGGGAAGGGAAAAAGAGGCAGGCAGGAGCCCTAGGAAAACATACATTCTGAGTGATATGGCTCAGGTCTCACTGGGAGCCTACTGAGTCACTGCGTATATGTATGGGTTACAGTGACGACATAATGACAAGTAATCCATAATCATGAGAGCACTTGGGAACATCAACAAAGCCAGTCACAGGGACCAGAAGAGACCAATTAGGTCACCGACTTGCAGGCTTCTGAGCCTATGAGAATCAAAGTGAGGCTGATCATCCTCCCCGAAGAGAGTAGAGTCAGGATCCGAAGCTCATCTGGGGCTCGGGATGTGGCTCAGTTGGTAGCCTGCTTGTCTAGTGTGAACGAAGCCGAGTTTGATCCTCCGCACCACATAAACTGGGTGTGGTGATGCATACCTGTAATCTCAACTCCTGGGAGGTAGAGGCAGGAGGATCAGATGCTCAAAGCCGATCTCAGCTACATGAGACAGTCTCAAAAGAGTAAAGAAAAAGAATTTCATATACCTGCAGGTTCAGGCATGCTCAGAAGACTGAAGTGAGTCATTTGACAACCCATACAGAGATTCACCTTCTGAGGAATGAGGGCAGAAGTGGAGGTGGGGAAATGTAGGTCATAAGGTCAGAACAGCCAACCTTTGGAGACGAGGTTTTAGAAACCAGGATAAGCTTCTAAGTGGAAAATACTAATTTTTGTAAATAGGGCCAGTGAGATGACTTAATGAGTAAAGGCACCTGAATTTTTTTGGGGGAGGGTCATTTTTTTTTGATACAGGGTCTCCCTGTAGCCCCAACTGGCCTGGACCAGGCTGGCCTTGAACTCAGAGATCCTCCTGCCTCTGCCTCCCAAGTGCTGGGATTAAAGGTGTGCGCTACAACGCCTGGCACGTGGTACCTGAATTTGATCCCTTTGATCAACATGGTGGAAGGTGAAAATAGACTCTGGCAAGACACCAGGACATACACACACACACACACACACACACACACACACACACATTTTTGTAAATAAATACGTCAGTTCTGAGGACATGTCCCACAAACAAAAAACTTTTCTGGACTGGCATTTGTTGTATGTGAGTCATGTATTTCTGGATCAGTCTTGGCTTAGCCGAGTCCTTCCCAAGAAGTACCAAATACATACTCTTCTCTACCTCCCAGTTTCCATGAATATAAAGCATCACCCCTTTGGGGATCATATGAGAATTAAGTGGCTAAAAAATACTTCTTATTGGGGTTGCAGAGATGGCTCAGCAGTTAAGAACACTGGTTGTTCTTGCAGAAGACCCAGGTTTGAATCCCAGTACCTACATGGCAGCTAACAACTGTCCGTAACTCCAGTCCCAGGAGATCTGACAGCCTCTTCTGACCTCGTGGGCATTGCACAATACAGGTGCACTTACCTACACACAGGCAATACACATATACACATAAAATTTAAAAAAAAAAACTTCTTATATGGGGTTAGAGAGATGGCTCAATCATCTATAACTCTAGTTCCATGGGATCTGACACCCTCTTCTGTCCTCTGTGGGCATTGCATGACATGAGTGTACTTATATACATGCAGGCATAACACTCATACACATAAAAATAAATAAATAAAAAATCATGTTGCTGAGAATGACTTTTAAGTTTTGATCCTTCCTCAACATTCCAAGTGCTGGGATTACAGTGTGCACCACTACAGTCAGCTTTGTTTTTAATGTGGTGCTGGGGATCAAACCCAGGGACTCACGCATGCTAAGTGAACAGTCACCCCAACCCCTTCTTAACATGGGACTGGTTCCTAGTCATCTTTTTTTTTTTTTTTAATTTTTATTTTTTTTATGTGTATGAGTGTATTGCCTGCATGTATGTGAGTGCACCTGCATCATGCAGTGTCACAGAGGTCAGAAGAGGGCGTCGGATTCCCCTGGAACTGGAGTTAAGGACAGTTCGTAGCAGCCATGTGGGTGCTGGGAATCGAACCCGAGTCCTCTGCAAGAGCAGTCAGTGCTCTTAACTGCTGAGCCATCTCTCCAGCCCCCCTTGTCATCTTTTGATATAGGATGATCCCTCTTAGCCAATGTAGGCAGAATAATCATCCACAAAGATATCCAGTGTTTGCTCCTATTATGGTACAGTAAAATGGACTTTGCAGATGTGATAAGGATGCTAAAAGAGGGAGATAGCCCAGATTATCCAGGTGGGTCCTAAATGCAATCATGAGTTTATGAAGTAAGCAAAGAGTGAGATTTGACTACAGAAGCCAGAAGGCAATGGGATGGTGGAAGCAAGATGCTACACTGCTAGCTCTGAATACAGACCAGAGACCAAAAGTCCAGGAGTGCCAGGACCACAGCTCTCATAGCTGGAAAAGTTGGTGAACAGATATTCCACTAGAACCCTGGTAAGCATGTGGCTCTGTTCAGTGAAGCTGGTTTCAAACTTATCTCTAGAATGTATATTGCCCCTTATTTTATTTTTTTGTCTTTTTGAGAGAGGGTCTCCCTGTAATCCCAGCTAGCCTAGAACTCACTATGTAGACCAGGCTGGCCTCAAACTCACAGAGATACACCTGCCTCTACCGCCCAAGTGCTGGGACTAAAGGCATGTGCCACCACACCTGGTTGCCCCCTTTTTAAAAATTAAAAAAAAAAAAATTGAGATAGGTCTCAGGCTGGCCTTGAATTTGTGATCTTCCTGCCCCAGCCTCCCCAGTGCTGGGATTGTAAGTATGCACCAATGTGCTTGGCTTAGAATATATATTGTCTTTAGCCATAAAGTTTGCAGTGGCTTGTCACAGCAGCCACAAGAAACTAATATCCTGGATCTCTCTATGTCCTTTACTTTTGGTCCCTGCTCCTGTAGTGACCAGCCCCCACCCCCAGTAACCCCTAGACCTGCATGTAGCCACACTAACTTGTGTAACTGATAGGATACTGTGGATATATGACAGAGTAAAGTCTGGGCTGAAGTCATAACACAGCTGCTGTCTTCTGGACCACTGCTCTATGGGAAAGCATACACTGTACCGTGAGGACACCTAAGAAGTTCTACAGACAGGCCTACATGGAGAAGAACTGAGGCCTCTTGCCACAGCCATGTGCGTGAATCGTCTTCAAAGTTGATTCTCCAGCCCCAGTCAAGTCTCCAGTGACAATTACTAGGCCGACATCTTGATTATAATTTCAAGAAGTTAGGCTAGAACCATGAGATAAGTCATTCCTGGATTCCTATTTACCAGAAATGGTGAAGTAATATTTACTGTTGTTTTAGGTCACTACATTGTATTTGTCACACAGGGACAGGTAATACACTTCTTCTTTCTTACTGTTTATTCACTGCTAAGTTGTCAGCCTTCAAGATGGCTCATAGGGCTGTTGACAGGAGGCCTCAGATCACAGTTCTACACTGCAGTCACATTTCATGGACAACTGGGCTAACAGGAATCTGAAAATCTGCACTCTAAGACTATCAACACTCTCACTTTGTGCACCGAATGTAAAATAATGCAAACTGCCTAGAAACCAGCACACACGCACACACACACACTCAGGATAAGCAGTACATGGGGCTGGAGAAATGGCTCTGTGGTGAAGATCACTGGCTGCTCTTGCAGAGGACCTGGGTTTGGTTCCCAGCACCCATATGGCAGCTCACAACCATCTGTAACTCCAGTTTCAGGGGATCCAATACCCTCTTCTAACCTCCAAGGGCATTTCATGATTCAGGTGCACCTGCCTACAAGCAGGCATTATGCTCATACACATAAAAAATTAGGGGGCTGGAAAGATGGCTCAGTGGTTAACAGCACTGGCTGCTCTTGCAGAGGACCTGAGTTTGGGTCCCAGCACCCACATGGCTGCTAATAACTGTCCTGAATCCAGTTCCTGGGGATCCGACGCTGTTTTCTGATCTCCAAAGGCATTGCACAGGTGCACTTAACACACATGCAGGCAATACGCTCATACATATAAAATAAAGATAATATTAAAAAACAAATTAATTAAAAAAAGATAAGCAGTACATAATTTCAGAGTCACAGAACTTAAGTATGAATTGTTTTTGGTTTCTGCCAGGCAGACTTTATGGAGAACAAGGTAGGCAGCCGGTTTGCCTAGAAGTACTGGAGCTTTGACGACCTAGAAGGCTTTGCAAACACTGTACCCCATCACAGCATTCCTACACCGTGCGTGCACTCGCCATCTGGGCGCTTGGCCAACGCTGGTCCTCTCTGGATGTGGGGGAGGATGTCATCACGAGCAGAGGTGGACCCGGGACAGGGGTGTGCCCTGTCCTATAAGCACTGATTCCCCCCTCCTCCGACTCCCCCCCCCAAAAAAAAAGGGCAGGGGCACAGGAGGTCGGCGCAGGCGCACTGAGCACCAGGCCGCCTGGGTTCCAACCCGGGCTCCGCGCCTGACCCGCCGCGGTCGCTTTCGTATCTGGAAAAGCCATGGCGGCCGCGGAGCGGACCAGTAGGCGAGGACGGTGGGCCTCGAGCCCCCTCGTCCTATTGTTTTTATTGTTACCTGAGGTCGTGCCCGCGAGCGCGAGGCCATCGTCACTGCTGCGGCTTCGTCTTGGGGGTCCATCCCGGGCTAACAGGTCCAGCACAGGAGCCCAAGACGACTACTAATGTAAAGAGCCGCCCCGGTCAAGAGGACCACCCCACCAGGCGTCCTCTGGACAATGGCGGCCGCATCAGAGACTCTGAGACTACAACTCCCAGAAGGCCGTGCGCCGCGATGCAGAACTGGACCAATGGAAGCCACCTACAGCGCGGGTGGTTGACCAATGGAGGAGTTCTGGCTTCTGTCTGCAATGGAAACCACCCACAGCTCCTGGCAGCAGAGGGGATGAGGATTTGTAGGGGTAGTGCCCAGCTTGCATCCTGTTACCTGCAAGCGGGCAACCCTTAGTGTCCGGAAAGTCGTCCTCCTATCCTGACTACAGAGGTTGGGGGACATGTGTGTCTGCGCAATGAGCGCTGAGCAGCCGAGCCTTGCTGGCAGGGTCCTCAGCCTGAGTTCTGGATGCTGGAAATGACTGCATAGGAGACCAAGGGCTTTCCTCGTTTTCCTCCATTTACTTAAGGAAATCACATCAACTAAATTTAAGTTCTTTGTTAATAGACTTTGGAGCGCTAATGTGACAAGGAAAAGTTATACTCTTTAAAAATTTTTTATTATTTTTATTTTATGTGTATTAATGTATTGTCTACATGTAGGTAGGTGTACTCCCGTGCATACCGGCAGAGGTCAGAAGGGGGCTGTTTGATCCCCAGGAACTGGAGTTACTGTTGGTTGTTAGCCACCAAGTGGGTGCTGGGAACTGAACCCTGTTCTCTGGAAGAGCAGCCAGCGCTCTTAACCGCTGAGTCATCTCTCCAGTCCTTAAAGCTTCCCTTTGTTTCACTTACTAAGTAAATACCTTGAAATGTAACTCTGGAATACCTTTTATCGCACTGTGATGTTATCACCATGTTGAGATGTTTTATTACTCTGTAAAGTCTTGAAGCTCTGTGATGCTTTCCACTCACCGTCTGACTGTTGATAAAGATGTAAAACTAAGAAAATGGAAAGTTCACTAAATGGTTTAATGAGGTACCTGGTCCAATTAGTGCAGAAAAAGTGTATCTCAAACACAACAGATATCTAAATTTATGATGGTGATAGCTGTTTTTGCAAACTGCAGTGACCATTTTACTGATTCCTAGCCCAATTCACCTGGCCTAGCTATAGATCAAAAGGTGGCAGATGTCCTGATCTTTGCCTGGGATGGCTACCTTATAAATTATGAACTCAAGAAGGAATTTTCCTGAGATAACATGGCTCATCATGAAAACAAACCTAGGGCCCAGGTGTCAGCCATAAAATAACATAAAAACGCCTACTTTATCCCCATCTGGGACCTCATGCATGAGAATGAATAGCTAAGCTTTCCAACTCTCTCCTGGGTAAATGGTTGATATTTGAAGAATTTTTCCATAAGAAATGACTGGAAAGGGCAAACAAGGCTTCCTAAATTCTGTTTCGCCAAGTAAGATGAACATCACAATGTGATATTTTTTTCTGTGGGCATACCTGTAATTCCAACACTTAAGAGATGGTGGGGAGTTCAAGCTCCTATTGAACATAGTACAAGGCTACTTGAGACCCAGAAATAATGAGGTAGAGGCAAGAAGGTCAGAAGCTCAAGATCATCTGCTGCACAGCCAGTGGTCAGAAATTTGGTCTGATTTGGGTTCTTGCAACTTCTTTGACGTTTCAGTCTGCTTTGTTCTTTCACTCTCATGTATTCACAATACAATGCAGTTTATAGCGGCTGCTGGTGGAGTGGTATTGTGATCAGCTTAGAGGCCTAAGCAGCCTTGATAATAATTTGGTATTTATGCCTGTTGTTTTAGATGGAGGGTTTTTTTTTTGTCATTCAAGTAGTTTTATATCTCTTTCTTTTGACTAGACAACTGTCTAGAAATGATATAAAATGTTCAGGTTGAGCTTTTTCATAATTACTATTTTATAATTTTGTTGTGCTATTAAATATTAAAGAGTTGTAGCTATGGCAACACGATTTCCACTTTTTTCTTTCTTCTTTTTTTGTTTTTGGTCTTTTTTTGAGACAGGGTCTCTCTTAGCAACAGCTGACCTGGAACTGGTTATGTAGACCAGGCTGGCCTTGCTCTCACAGAGATCTCCTTGCCTCTGCCTTCCAAGTGCTGAGATTAAAGGCATGTACCACCACACCTGGCTCACTTCATTCTTTTAAAATATTTATTTTATTTGTGTGTGTGTGTGTGTGTGTGTACACATGTGTGGCGGCCAGAGAACAACTAACTCATGGGAGTTGATTCTCTCCTTCTACCATGTAGGTCCTGGGGATTGAACTCGGGCCATCAGGCTTGGCAGCAAGCATCTTTACCTGCTGAGCCATATAGCTGTCCTATTTATTTTATATTTTAATTTAATTTTGAGACAGAGTCTCATGTAAGGCCTATAACTTGCTATATAGCTGATCCTCTTGCCTCCATTTCCCAGCTGCTGGGATTACAGCTGTGTGAGTCAACATGCCTAGCCACATCTTTCTTTTTAAAACGCATTCAGATCATTGTGATGGTCTGAGGAAGTCACATGTGCGAGGAGGTCTGCAATGTGAGGGTTTGAACAATTCACTGAACTCCCAGATGACAACCAGTCTTGGGGTGTGCCATCCTGGACACTGAGCTTCCCTAGGACTCCAGGTTTCATTGTGTCTAATCAAACTCCATGAGAAACACTCAGTGAGAACCATCCAGCCGATCTTACTGACCCATAGTATGGGGAGAAATCATAGAACCATGTTACTTCTTTTGGGATGCTTTGTAGCATCAGAAAAGTGAAACAGGCTTGTGGGATGCCATCTCCTAAAAGTCTGTACCTCTAGTTCTTTCCTATTTTCATAATAATTGTCTTAGTTTAGGACTTCATCATCATTTAAAAAAATGTAAAAAGTGGGGTACAGCAGTTAAGAGCAGATCCTGCCCTTGCAGAGGACCTGAGTTCAGTTCCCAGCACCCACATTGTATGGCTCAAAGCTGCCTGTTTCTCCAGCTCTAAGGGTATCTGATGCCCTCTTCTGGCCTCCCCAGGCACCTGCACTCTTACATGCATCTACCTACATGCATACATATTATGTATGATATTACTGCCATAATAAGTAATCATTAAAGAAAGCTGAGTATATGATTTTCATGCTATAGTCTGGGAAAACATATTTTTGCATAGTTTAATGGTTAGCACAAGATGAAATGCTTATCGTACTTTGTTTCTGGCCTTATCTGTAGCTTTATATGTAATACCTGCTTGTAACCTTAGCTAAAAAAGTATAAAAGGCCAGGCATGGTGGCACACGCCTGTAGTCCCAGCACTTTGGAGGAAGAGGCAGGCAGATCTCTGTGAGTTTAAGCCCAGCCTGGTCTACATAGTAAGTTCCAAGCCAGCTGGGGCTACAGGGAAACCCTGTCTCAAAAAGACCAATTAAAAAAAAAAACCCAAAGATGACCTGGATCTATATATATATGAACACTGCCTTGGAATAAAGAGCACTCTTCCCCACCAGAGGGTTGAGTCCTTTGCCTTCATTCATTTTGTCACCCACTTGCAGACCCAAGTCTCTACACACATGCACACACAAAATAAATAAAAGCTTTAAAAATAAGGCCAGGTTTGGTGGCAAATACCTTTAATCCCAGCACTTGGAAGGCAGAAGCAAGTGGATATCTGTGAGACTGAGGCCAACCTGGTCTACATAAGTAGTTTCAGGTCATCTGGGGCTACTGGAAACCCTGTCTCAAACAAACAAACAAACAAACAAACAAACAAACAAACACAAAAAACCCATAACAAAAAAAGGAAAAAACTTTAAAAATGGAAAAACTATGTTTTTGAATTAGTAGTACATTCTCATGGCATGAAATTTACAACACAAAAAAACAAATGTTTCCCACCCTTGATTCCCACCACTAAATCTCCTCCTTGAAGGTAACAACTCTTTTTTATTTGTGTATCCTTCTGGAGATATTTTATACATTCATAAATATTAGAGCTCTTCATCTGTTTAAGGGATACAAAACACTGAATTGTATATTGATTCTATTCAAGTAATGACATCTCAGAGATCTTTTCATATTAGCATATAAAGCCTTTACCAGCTTTATTGAGGTATAAATCATACAGCACATAATTCATCTGTTTAAAATAGGATCCAAGGGCTGGAGAGATGGCTCAGTAGTTAAGAGCACTGGTTGCTCTTGCAGAGGACCTGAGTTCCATTCCGAGCACCCACATGGTGGCTAACAACTGTCCTTGATTCCAGTTCCAGGGGATCCAACGCCCTCTTCTGACCTTGGTGGGCATTGCATGACATGTGTACCTACACTTACACACATGCAGTTAATACACCCATATACATAAAAATAACAAAATATTGAGGCTGGAGAGATGGCTCAGCAGTTAAGAACACTGGTTGTTCTTGCAGAAGACCTGGGTTTGAATCCCAGCACCCACATGGCAGCTAACAACTATCTGTAACTTCAGTTCCAGGGGATCCAATGGCCTCTTCTGTCCTCCACGGGCATTGCGTGACATGGATGCACTTACCTACATGCAAGGCAATACACTCATACACATAAAATAAAACTAATAAATAAAATATTAAAAAACCCAAAATATCTAAAAATAAATAAATTAATAAAATATTTTAAAATGGGACCCAGGGCCAGAGAGATGACTCAGCAGGTAGAAGTGCCTGCCAGCAAGCCCGATGATTGGTGTTTGATCCTAGGCACTCACACAGTTGTAGGAGAAAGCTGATTCTCATGAGTTGTCTTCTGACCTCTCCCCACACTCAGATAAGTAAATATAATTAAAGTATTTAAAATGGGATCCAGTTAGATAAGCCTTTTTTTTTTTTTTGAATTCCATTTATTGTTTCTTGAGTTCATTGGAAGAGGGCAGATGTGGGCTAGGCAGCCTAGTAAAATGGACCCAAGTACAATCGACCCAGACCATGGGGCTAGGGTGAGGGATGTCTCCTTATATTGGGATGAGTATCTTTGTGTGTTCCCACACTGACAATCGAGCCTCTGGAAGAAGGGCAGTCTAGATTGGGCTGGTGGTATGTCATGAATTATAGGACCTCAGCCACCACCCGTGTAAAAACTTTCAGGTGTGTGTGCAAATCAGAGGAGTCCCCATTGATACAAATTCAGTCTGAGCAGCAAGAAGAGGACTGCAGCTCTTTGTGGTGTCATCCTTTTTGTCGAGTTCTGAGTCTGGGGCTTTGTTTGGAGATCTTGACCCAAAACATGTTTGCTGTCCTCTGACCTCCGCTTAGTTGTTCAGGCATACAGGTTGGATGGAACTCAGTATCCTGAAGCTAGGCACACTGAGCCTTCGCAAAACGGGACTTCTGGTCGACCTTTTTTTTCACACACACACACACACACACACACACACACACACACACACACACCTTGACGAGACTTCTGGTGACCTTCACAGACACCCCATCGG